TTTAACATTGAGTTTGATCAAGAAACCTTCGTTCAATGTTTAAGAAAAGAATGCCTTAGAAAATTAATAGCCTGTGTTGCTAATGGAATTCAAAATTAATAGTGCCACAGAAATTCCATTAGAAAGCTCTAAAATCCACTAGAAGCGAAAATTGTCAACACTCAATAGTTACGAACGTGCTAAAAACTTCAACCGAATCCATAGAATCCATTTAAACAAATTCTTATCGAGCAACCTTTGCGCTAATTTCCGAAATTATGATTAAAAGCATTAAAACTTTTGGTGTGCTGATTAAACTTTCTAAAAGCCAGCGGTTTTTTTTTTTTGTCTTTTTTTTTTTTAATGTGATAGATGATCAGTTAGCGTTCCTAATCCTGTAATCACATGAGAATCTGCAAAATTCATTTCATCGTGTTTTTATAAGATCACGTGCAATTTTGGTGATTTATCGTTATATGCATTTTTTTTTAAATAAAACCGTACGTACGTCCGGGATTCTCAATACAATTAAACCTCCATATATGCATCCCTTGGAACCGATCATAAGCATGCATTTATATAGGGTGTGCGTTTAGAAAGCAGCTTTTATTAAGCCATTATAGTCGAAACTGAGGTATAGGATGTAATTATAGAGGGTGTGCACTTGTGTGCACTTATAGAGCATGCATACATGGAGATATGTAAACAGTAAATAGGTGAACGAATAAAATAAATAGGGTGATTCCAAGTTAAAATCAAAACATCCGTCAATTTTTTTTCGTATATAGTACTCATAATAATGGACTTTTAGGCCATTTAGGCATTTATTTTTGTCAAGTTTCTGATTGGCAGGAATTGTTTACACTGACTTTTAAAAATATGACATCTCGGTTAGGGTTTAATACGTCGACAATGCGATTATTAGCTCTCAGACCCGGACGATGCCCCGGGGGTGCGTTCTCAATTTTTTTAGTTTTTAAATATTTTTAATTTTCATTATTGAATTTATTAATATTTAAACCTTACAAGTTTCTAGAATATAATATAAACTTTAAGTTTTTTAATTATTAGTTTTTAAGTTTTCTAGCTTTTAGACCTGAGTAATTTTTTTTTTTCCACATTGGCCATCTTGCCAAAATTCTTTATTACTGGGTATCGATTGGTTAAAACAACACCAAACAAAATGTTATACTATGTAATTTTAGAAATGACATCCTGCAGTTACTTCAAAGAGCACTTACAAGTGACTGGCCGCACTGAGCAGACACATTCTTTTAAACACATCTTGATGAATTTCAACTAGAAATTACATCTATCTCAGAAGGCACCATCAGATCACTGCCTTACAATAAGATATCATCAAACTAATGGCATCTTCTCATAGGGAAGTGGAAAAATGAAAAAAACACTAATGTTAATATTAATATTAAAGGGGAAAATGAAATAACAAAAACTAATACTAAAAAACAAATACAGAGATGAAAGGGGGTAAAAAGAAAAAAAAGAATCTGATAGATCATAATTATAAGTCTGTGTTGGGTTTTTTTTTTTTTTTTTTTTTGAATTTGCTGTATACATGATAAGATTAGTTACAAATTTGTATCAAGATGATATTAATTTTAACTATCTATTATATCTTGTATAACCACTTAAGTATAGCAAAACACCTCTTAATTTTCTATTTATAAACTAATTTAAGACTAGCTACCATTAGTTATAGAGGGAGAAAGAGGAAGCCCAAGTGTTGGGTTTTAAAAAATTATATATTAATAGAATAAAGAAGCTCTGTATCTAATTCTACTCTATACAACTGTAAAACTTACAAAAAAGAACCTACAAAGTTTTGTTAGCCCACCACTTTTTTCGAGAAAATTTGTCAAAAAAATGGGTGTTTCAGTTTACTTTTTCCAAAAAATCGACATATAAAATCACCAAAACAGTCAGTATTGTTTATCTCTCAAACCAGATGTTTACGATATGTTATTTATTTAGTGTAGCTCAGGGTAATACAAGTTATCAATGAACCAGTAGACTGTGGTCAAGTGCATTGGATAGAAGACTCCTACATATGAAAATGGTATATTTGAGACACACAATGGTAATATGGCTTGACTTCCATAAATTGCAAATGATACTTCAAGACTACAGTTTCTTTTTTCTAACTACTCTGTCTAGGTTTTCTAGTTTAATTTAAGATGTTTTTTTTTTTTATATAGGTTTTTTTGATATAGATACATATATTATTAGAGTAGAATTAGATACAGAGCTTCTTTATTCTATTAATATATAATTTTTTAAAACCCAACACTTGGGCTTCCTCTTTCTCCCTCTATAACTAATGGTAGCTAGTCTTAAATTAGTTTATAAATAGAAAATTAAGAGGTGTTTTGCTATACTTAAGTGGTTATACAAGATATAATAGATAGTTAAAATTAATATCATCTTGATACAAATTTGTAACTAATCTTATCATGTATACAGCAAATTCAAAAAAAAAAAAAAAAAAAAACCCAACACAGACTTATAATTATGATCTATCAGATTCTTTTTTTTCTTTTTACCCCCTTTCATCTCTGTATTTGTTTTTTAGTATTAGTTTTTGTTATTTCATTTTCCCCTTTAATATTAATATTAACATTAGTGTTTTTTTCATTTTTCCACTTCCCTATGAGAAGATGCCATTAGTTTGATGATATCTTATTGTAAGGCAGTGATCTGATGGTGCCTTCTGAGATAGATGTAATTTCTAGTTGAAATTCATCAAGATGTGTTTAAAAGAATGTGTCTGCTCAGTGCGGCCAGTCACTTGTAAGTGCTCTTTGAAGTAACTGCAGGATGTCATTTCTAAAATTACATAGTATAACATTTTGTTTGGTGTTGTTTTAACCAATCGATACCCAGTAATAAAGAATTTTGGCAAGATGGCCAATGTGGAAAAAAAAAAATTACTCAGGTCTAAAAGCTAGAAAACTTAAAAACTAATAATTAAAAAACTTAAAGTTTATATTATATTCTAGAAACTTGTAAGGTTTAAATATTAATAAATTCAATAATGAAAATTAAAAATATTTAAAAACTAAAAAAATTGAGAACGCACCCCCGGGGCATCGTCCGGGTCTGAGAGCTAATAATCGCATTGTCGACGTATTAAACCCTAACCGAGATGTCATATTTTTAAAAGTCAGTGTAAACAATTCCTGCCAATCAGAAACTTGACAAAAATAAATGCCTAAATGGCCTAAAAGTCCATTATTATGAGTACTATATACGAAAAAAAATTGACGGATGTTTTGATTTTAACTTGGAATCACCCTATTTATTTTATTCGTTCACCTATTTACTGTTTACATATCTCCATGTATGCATGCTCTATAAGTGCACACAAGTGCACACCCTCTATAATTACATCCTATACCTCAGTTTCGACTATAATGGCTTAATAAAAGCTGCTTTCTAAACGCACACCCTATATAAATGCATGCTTATGATCGGTTCCAAGGGATGCATATATGGAGGTTTAATTGTATTGAGAATCCCGGACGTACGTACGGTTTTATTTAAAAAAAAATGCATATAACGATAAATCACCAAAATTGCACGTGATCTTATAAAAACACGATGAAATGAATTTTGCAGATTCTCATGTGATTACAGGATTAGGAACGCTAACTGATCATCTATCACATTAAAAAAAAAAAAGACAAAAAAAAAAAACCGCTGGCTTTTAGAAAGTTTAATCAGCACACCAAAAGTTTTAATGCTTTTAATCATAATTTCGGAAATTAGCGCAAAGGTTGCTCGATAAGAATTTGTTTAAATGGATTCTATGGATTCGGTTGAAGTTTTTAGCACGTTCGTAACTATTGAGTGTTGACAATTTTCGCTTCTAGTGGATTTTAGAGCTTTCTAATGGAATTTCTGTGGCACTATTAATTTTGAATTCCATTAGCAACACAGGCTATTAATTTTCTAAGGCATTCTTTTCTTAAACATTGAACGAAGGTTTCTTGATCAAACTCAATGTTAAACGGGTCCTACGAGTGAAAATTTTAGCTTTTTAGACAAATTTGGTATATGTAAATCACGGGATGGTAGGCGTTAGATATTATTCCCTGAAGAGAACCCGCGGATGTTTCATGTTATTCGTAAATAAACAATTCATGAATAAAGGAAAGCACAATAAGGTTTTATTCAACATGGCTGAATCTGATGCATTATTAATAAGTTTTTGTATTTTTTTTTTTTTTTTTTTTTTTTTTTTTTTTGAGGAAAAATTATACTATATGGGGTCTTTGCCTTGAAAATGACCTTACGGTATCATGTACCGTAAGGCCATTTTCAAGGCAAAGACCCCATATATTGAAATGGATTTTAGATAACTGATAAGGTAAATATATCTTCAAGATGATCGTCCCGACAATGGAATATTTTTTACGCTCGGCCGCATTTGCCAGCATCTACAAAAAAAGTTTCATGAACCCTAAAACCAATAGTGTTACGGTTGCATGCAACCGTGAAAGTTTCACGTGTCTTAATTGTCACGTACAGCGGTGGTATATAGCATATTGTGCGTACGTACGTACGTACGTACCTTGTACACGCTCTTGTATTTATATTTTGTAAATACCTTTATTTTTTTTATTATTGGTTCCAATTTTAATTATATATCTATATTTATATGTATAAAATTTAAATTAACTCGATATAAAGTAGTCCTTTACGTTTAGAGTAAATATAAACCCAAGACTCGTCCTTATTGTTTTTTTTTTTTTTTTCGTCTTAAGTTGTTCATGTATATATGTTATTTTTTTTTTTATTTACCTTTCACAATTTGACTTAAGAGTTCGTCAACCTGACTTACTATTATTGTATGTATTAAAGACAAACATCATAACCAACATTTACGTAGTGTCTATAGGATCCTTTTTTGGCATGTGAGTTTTAACTTTGTTGTTGAACACAAAGACGGAAACAAATATTCCTTCTTACTTTCAAGTAACTTTGATTTCTTAGAACGAACAATGCGCGAGTTATTACTTGTACGAAAACTAGAAGAAGAAAATGCAAAAAAAAATAAACAAAATGAGCTACCCTCACCTACTTCACCTGAAAACACATCCAACATTGACTCTTGCACCGAAAAATCCCATAAGCAAGAGACGCAAGAGGTGCATCAAGATACACATGATATTACACTGAACAACAATAGTGAAATTAGTTTGTTGTCAGGAGAGAATACACAGAATAACCCCGATATTAATATTGTTCAGAATCAGACTGCCAACATTTTGAATACAGAAATCCAGCAGCACTTACCCATACTTCCAGACGACAATAATTCGATACTTATCCCTCTGGAAACTTCAACTTCTAATGACGTTACTTCCTCTGATAAGACCATTCATTCAGTTGAACTTGCAGAAAATATAAGCGATTTACCCGAAGAAAAGAAACATGATGTACTACAAACGAAACGAGAGAGCCTTAAAGAGTTTTTTCTTCAAAAACAACCATATATACATAAGGACTCTTACAACAATAATCCTGCATTAGATCCGGATTTAATAGAAACAGAGAGCCAATCACCTTTATCTCCAATTTCAAGGTAGTTATTACTTATGATTTGTCAACATCATTAAATGTGGCCAAGATTAATAGTTCTAGACTCTTATCTATAAAATATTAATGAGTTCGTGGTATATTTACTAACATTTTATCGATTTCTATATCTTTTCTAAATTGGTTAGTAAGCAGATTAAGAAAGGAAATACAAATTTATCAGACCCAGAAAACTTGCTATTAGATAGTTCTAATCATCAAACTGATCAAATAGATAGCAAATTAAACTTTGACGAAAAACGTCAAAAAGCAGCAGCGGATCGTGATTTGCAGAGAAGGGAATTAAGAAATTTGAAGAAACAGAGAAAGCGCCAATCCGCTGAACAGAATCCTGATGATGATATAGTCATTATGGTGCCGACAAAGAAAACTACAACAGTTGATAACTCTGAAGAAACTCCTACCGTTATTGTTAATTCTGAAGGACCAGATGGAAAGACGTAAGTAGCACTAAAAAAATTCATTACGTGAAATTATTACATTATTTATTTGGCCTTTAATATACTTTATATTCAGTACAATTACTCGTATAAAACGTCCAAAAGACAAAACTTCTGCTGATTCAGATACGGATGGTTCAGTGGATTTAGATGCGCTCATAGCTGAAGGCAGTGACTTGGATTCTAATGCAATTCAATTGAATGATGATGGTTTGGATGATGGTGATGACAGCTTTTGGAAAATTGATCCTGCAGAGGTACATATTCGTGATTTAGAAATTGATTTATATAGTTTTGTTGTAACCCTTAACTTTTTAAATTTTTAGCTTGAAAAACATTTATCTCCATCGACCACTCCTTTACGTCGTCCCTCACCAGACCCACAAATTACACCAACTTTGACAATTTCTAACAGACCAGTTAGCATGATCGCGGAAGAAGACGAGAATTTAAGTGATACACCTCTCGAAATTGATGGTCAAGAAGCGGATGATATTTTTAGTCCTGGCGGATTTGATGTAAGATTTATTTAACATTAGATATGTATATAGATATATATATGTTAGTAATAATAATAGTAATAAATATATAAATTTTCTTTTTTGACGAATGGCTTAGATGGAGCTAAAAAATGACGACGAAGAAGATCAAATTGACATGTCATTAGACACACAGATTACTCCAATTTTGAAACCTGTATCACCATCTCCGGTGCCTTCACCGTACCCAACACTTTCAGGTGGAAAATCCGGAATTCCGACCGGATTACCAAAAACTGCTTTCAGTCCACATTTTGGTCCGTCTCCTCTTTCACCTACCTCATCTAGAGCTTCATCTGTTGCTGATCCAGATGAATATGAGACAATGTCAAATGGTTCATATACTTCGGTTCGTTCGGCAGGAAGTGCAAAATCTGGAACTTCCGGAATACGGAGACCGTCAAATACTTCAGGACTTCGTGCTCCCAGTCGAGCAGGTTCTCATGCTACATCTCCTTCAAGGATGGTTCTTCCTACTAGGGTTGATTCTCATACATCAATCCCATCCCCAGGGAGACAAAGATCATTGAGTGTTGTCAGTAATAGTTCCACTGAAGAGAGCACTACTTCGTCAGTGGATGCCGTATCTCCTTCACGGATTGCCTCTCCGACTCGTGGGGTTCGCATATATAGTCCTATGTCACAGGCTATAACAGGTGGTGGTACTCGTCCAAGATCTATAAGTCGAGTAAGCAATAGTTCTGCTGAATCATCTACTACTAATGCCTCAACCTCTGGTGTACGTTCATTAAATAAAGCTGGCTCGAATATTGCCACTCCTAAAATTTCAAATATAAATTCGGGCATTCCGAATCGTGTTCGTAATAATAATACGGAAAAGAATGTATCTATAGCACGTCCTGTTTCACAATTACAATCTCCCTCTTCGTCTAGTTCAACCGGTTTGTCACGGACGACACATAGAACTAGTTTGATAAAGTCTCCAGGTTCTGCAACTTCCGTGCGGCCGCTTGGCGGAAACACCGCTGAAACTCCTAAACAAAATACTATAAAAAAAATTAGACCACAATCTCATATTGTTAATGATCACTCTTCAAACGATAATTATTCCTCCTTTGGTTCAAATGCACCTTCTGGTATTAGATCACCATCTGGCTTGAGAAGTTCCACAATTACTCGTATTGGTAGTCGTCAGAGTTCAGATAGCCTTTCTTCTCATGACGATTACATTATATTTACTCCTCCAGAATCACCTACAAATGCTTCAGAAACAGATTCTCTTACATCCTTAACAAGTTCTGTCTCATATGGTTCTTCACCTGGTAGAGGAACATCTCCAATACCCCCTGCATCAGTAATTACTTCAACTAGAATTTCATCAAAGTCAAACAACCGAACATCAATGATTACACCTCCATCTGGCATAAGTAAACTTACTTATACTAGAACTACTCCTTTAAAACCTGCAACTCCTGGCAGTCAAGTAGCATCAGGAGTTACAGGGTTGAGGCCACCAAGCAATATCAGAATGTAGGGAAATTGTTCACAGTAGGATTGCGATCAAACCCTTTTTTTTTTTTGAATTATGACATTGCTACATGTTTGGGTTTGGGATTTCTACTTCATTTGGGATAATAACCAAAATATAAATAGATGTCCGTTCTCAGTTAATAGTGTAAAATTCAAAAACCAATTAAATTTGTTAATCAATGCTATAAATTATTAAAACTTTGTTATTTTTATTTTCAAATTAAGAATTTAAGAAGGATTCAACGACTAAGCAGGATATACTGAATAAAATGATATGTTACAGTAGGTCTAGTGGTTATATCGAATATGTGCACAATATGTGAATACTAATGATAAAATTGACATCGAAGACATCGAAAATAAAATTGATCAGTAAATAATAAATCCTTCAAAATTTTTTTTTTTTCGGAATTCAAACAGAAGCGCCTAATAGTTCGATCCCTTATTGTTGGTTAATTGACTGATAAATGAATTATCCATGATTTAACCAAATCACGATATAGAGGTCTATAACATTCAATCAAGTACAAATTGAAGTGAGCTCTTCTAACAAAGACACCGAAAAAAAAAAATCGAAAGTGATATTTACCTTCGATGTTCTTAGTTTTTTTAATAATTCACAAATCACGGATTGGAGTTTCTATTTAACTTCCTAAAATCAACTTATACTGTACTCGTTTACTATAAATCCTACCCGTGGCTTGTCTATTTTATAAAATTTTTAAATACACGGATAGATTAGTGGAGTAACCAAAATTCAGCAGATCGACCAAAATTTAGGGTCCGAATAGGCCGGAGTTGATAAATTTCCCCAAAATTTTACTAATGAAATGGTAGCCCACGTACTAAGTAAAGCTGCCCAGATGATAATTTTGCTGTAATATAGT